TGCTTCTCGGATGCATTTACTACCCGCGACAACCTTGTACGTAGTGCCCTCTTAAAAACACCCCGGTTCTTTTTCACGTTGACGAATGGGCTTTGCATAAAAAAGTGCAACAGTGGTCTTGTAGTTCGTAAAGTTGCAGATTCGAGCCCTTTTGAACACGTGGCTCGACTGACGGGTCGAATCTTTACACGTCCCCCCCGGTGCGCTTCCCTCCATCAGTTTTCCAAGCGCTTTATCCCGCACACGGCCACGAGGAAGCAGGAGTCGAGAAGGGAGCGAGGCAGGGTACGCCTTACCCGCGACTCCGGTCCATCACCGGTCACTCCGACACAGACACGCACACTCGCACCAATTAACCTCCCGGAACGTCCTTGGGCTTGGGAGGGAAAACCGGAGCACCTGAAGGAAAACCATGCAAACACTGGGAGAACCCATGAACTCCACGCAGCTAGCGCCCCAGGAATTTAACCCAGGGCCCCAGCAGTGAGGCAGGACTGCTCGCCATGGTGCTACCCTCACACCAGGTATCAGAAATCAAAAAAGTAATTGGCAATTATAATGGGTTTTTTTCCAAATGGAGACACACTCTGGATCACTCCATCACACAGATTCATTCTAGCCCACAGTCATACAAGGGATCATTTAATGATGTTAATTAATGTTGACATTAACTATGTCAGATTTTCAGTTCATATTTCCTGCATGATCCGTTTGGATCACTGGGAGAACTGGAGGACCCTAAAAATGGAGTCAAACCCAGTACCCAAGAGCTGTAAGGCAGCAGTGCCAACAACCACTCCACCATACTGTCCATGTGATCTCACTCCCTACACATCTCATCCATAGCAATCACACTATTTTCTGTTGCTGTTTTCCTGAAGAAAAAGTATCATATTCACCAAGATACAAAATACCCTGTAAGCCTGTTCATGTCAAATAAGTTCTATATGTTTTCTAAAAGTAACAATGTGGACTTTACATTTACACTTATTGTTCTGGACAGAAGACACACGTGTTTTTAGTGTAAAAACAATGCAAATGTGTTAGTCACCAACATAAAGTCACTTATCTCAGCCAGTGTATGTTTGGATTCATCAACTGCTGAAGCAGAATTGACAAGTCACAAATCTCAGAGCCCACTGAACACTCTGCCCTTTTTTATGTTAAATTTCATTTGCCAGATAAATACAGTGTCTTGGATTTTATCTCAATCTTGTTTAATTGCCTTTGCCACTTATTGAGTCCTCTTATTATCTCACCTGCAAATGTGACTGGTGTTACAACCTAGTGCAGAATCTAATTTCATTTTTCTTCAATCTCCTCTGCTTCTGCTATGTCAGATTTTCAGTTCATCCGTTTGTTTGTTTTTTGCCGCACGGGAGATGTCTAAAGAACTTTTCTCTTTGTTTACAACCAGAGCTCGCAGATGGCCTGGTGACAAGGACACAGCCCCTGCAACACAAAGTCTTGCACCATAATAAATTCAGCTTTAGAAATTAAATGTCCTTAAATGAAGAATTCCACTGAGATTCATTTTTATCAAGTCTCAAGCCACTGAAATAGTCACTATGTCAGTGAAGATGGACCACTGTAATCTCATACAGGAGAAGGGGAGTTTCACCGTTTAATTCTTCCCCTGTCCCGAGGTAATAATTTCTGCTCTGTTGTTTGCTGTCGCTGGCTGGTAACTTTGTCAGGGTACAGTTTTCAAAGGTCAGAAATAATTTAGTACTAGTGCCTTAAAATAAGTCTGTCCTTGAAGAGATTTGTGCTGTATGATGTTTTCATTCATCTTATATTTACTTAACATGCACCGTGCCTTAAGCAAAATAGTGGTTGGACACGGTATGTACTGTAACACTTTTTCGTAAAGAAGGAAGTTGAAAATGCAACACTAGCTGTGTATAGTGGTCTTTGCATGACAGCATTGATACATCAAGCACTGAATGCCAAGTTCCCAGCATGTTTATAATTCACCCACCATGTCCATCAAGGACTGTACACAGCAATGAACACTTTTAAATTCAGGACAGCATTCGAAGTTGAAAGCAGTGGCTATTGATAATTCCTTTATTGTGTGTGTTTCTGGATTAAATACGATGCCTGTCCACGTAGTGGAAATCTTCACAATGCAACGTAAAATCCAGCTATAAAGGCCCTATTCAAACTTGGAATTTTTGTGTTACTGGGTAGTGTTGATCTGAATAGACAATCACAGAACAGTTAATCAGACATATTATTAAACTCTGAAACAAATGAATAATTCAACGTCTTTCTTGTCACAAGCACAAGGCATTTTAAAATGTTGAATATTTTCTAAAAGCAAAGCCAACCCAAAGCCCTCAAAACATCTCTTAAAACGTGAATAATTTATTATAGTGCTGTACAGGCTGATGAAAACAAACCTTTAGAGGTTTTAGTCTCTCTTTTTAGCATTTGATCACTTGTATTTCATGTAAAAACAATTATTTTTCAAACCTATATATTGTACAGAAGTAGCGTCCCTTCCAATTTGTGATATATACCGTCATCACTGGAAGAACACAGGACAGACAATGAAAGAGGATACGATTACCTTTCAATCAGATCTCACCAAGATATTTCCAGAAGTTCATGAAATTGACAACTTTGATGGTCGAAGAGATTTGTTAACAGAGTGCAGGAAATCTGCAGACATGATGAGTACCTACATGGCCAATTCACATTCAACACGCTTTCTAGTCATCCTGTCCCCAGAAATGACCAGAACTACCCTTTTCAGTTCGAGACAGAATAAACACATTATTTTTTCCTCCGGAAAGCCACTTTGTCTTTGGTTTCTTGTAGTTTTTCTGAGAACTTGTCCTTGGTTTCAGTAAATTTGTCCTTCGTCTCCTCCATCTTCTCCGTGATCCTCTCCTTGGTTTCCTCCATTTTCTCCGACAGACGCTCCCTCGTCTCCTCCATTTTGTCTTGGATATAGTCCCTGACGGGGGGCGGTGTGGACAGGTAGCCATGCTTGCGCAGGTATTTTACAGAGTAGGATGTTCCTCCCAGGGTTACAGTGTATCTCGCTGGGGTGGCAATCTTCAGGAAGAGAGGAGAAATGAATATACAGACCGCAAACCCCAGAGTGTCCACGCTCTGATTTCTGAGTCATGTATTCCAATGAGAATACTCCAGAATTATTTGTGTTAAACGATGCTAATATGTAATCCCAATCCAAATAACCGAACAACCGTTGAATACAGTTCTAGTCTAACTGTCTTCGGTTCTTTTGTTGATTTTAACATATTCATTCAAATTCGTTTCCAGCATTTCAAGTTAAGTACAATACTCACCTTATACATGGCGTAGGCTGTCAGTGCATAACCACTCTGGGAGTCCTTCAGCATGCTTACGAGCCTTTCGGGCAATCCGACAAACTCCAGAAAGGGAACCAAGTTCACTCCCCTGAAGAACACATTGAACACAGTTGTTTCTTCTCCAAATTCAACTACCGTCATCAACCACTTCTGATGGGGCCCAGGCAATGCTAGCTGTCAATGCAGGATGACGGCACACCGCGGAAATGACACTGGTCACGATCGTCAAGATCAGTTTGTGCAAAAGCTCCGCTGCATCACTCGATCACATCATTACACAATGAGCTTGATGCTAGCTATGCTCAAATCAACCTTCATGCAAATGGGAGGTGATTAAATTGAGAGAAGGTCCTCCGGAGACCTTTAGATCTGATGTCTGATCACTGTCGCCTTTTTCAAATCAAGAAAGGAGTCGTACAGTGAGATGTCAGATGATGCATGGGTGGTAGGCCGGCGCACACAATGGTAAAAACAAACAAGCCAAACTGCAGACTGCAGGGGAGGGAGAGACTGTCGCACAAGATGAGTGCGGTGAATGTATTCAAGCTGAAACTGGGTCTGTGGTCTTCACAGCTAAAGAACAACATGACAGGGCAAATCCGGAGGAAACCCTACAGCACATCAACGAGAGAGGGCTCCATCCAGAACCCCTGGACAAACTAGAGGATACATTCAAAATATTATTTCAGGAGGTAGATCTTTGTCTTTATTTCCAACCTTCTTCTTTAAGTGGGTATTGGAGGGCTAACAGAAAAGTTTCAGCTGGGGAATGAACACTTATTTTTTTAAATAGGACAGTGACCAACTTAGCACTTACAGCCCACCGACACTCTTTTAACTACAAGGTATGTTCGTAAGCTTGTCTTTTCACCAGCAGGCACCCCATTTGTGTAGGACATCACTATTTGAAGCCCCCATGTGCATCTTATTGGAGATCTTGTCTTAGGATCTGTGGGAAACTCAAAAGTAGGTCCTGTATTCCTGTAGTTTACTGAGTGAAATACTGACAATGCCTCACCATAGCACAAATACCTTTAAATTATTTTTGCCTGGCATTATCAATGGAGCTTCCCAGGCAATAAATGGTTGTTTCCTCGTTAAACTCGGGTTGCAGAGCGAACAGCTCTTTGTGAAGACCCTTAACAAAGTGGAAGCCACTTTCCACACAGGTCTGAAGCTCAAAGCTCTCCACTTACTTCATGGCAGCATAGTAGAATGAGCCGAACCACACTGTAGACGTCACAAGATGCACGGGAATCATGACTTTTCCGTACTGCTTGAAGGTCTTCTTAAACCTCTGGTAGAGGCCGCTGGATGTGTCCTGAAGGGGGTCCGCCTCTGTCTCAGGGGCTGCGCCGGGTGGCGGATCACTGCCCGTGGCGCCCAGGGCCCCTTGTGGAGACACCGGCGGGGGCTCGTCGTTGATGCCGGCCTTGCGCGGCTCCGCGGCCGTCCGTGCGGAGGACGCGCTCACCCATCGCCGGGAGGGAGACAGCCACCCCTTGCAGGGACCTCCGGGTGGGACACCGCCCGCTGGGCCTGGAGTCGGGCACAGAAGGAGAGGGCGTGCCGCGTGCACCTGCCGGAGAACAGTCTGTAACAGAAGCCGCTGCATCTCCAGGCTCCAGTACCGTCTGGGAGCAGATTACAAAGAACAAGAAAACGCATTTACTCCGGCGGGGTCTGACAAATCCCTGCGATCAGAATCAGCGCATATCAACCTAAATACATGTTTTTAAAAGATCTGTCTTCATTTGAATCGGGCGACGTACATTCCCGCCTTCCAGGAAAGCGGACTTAACTCTTGTTAAGTTACTGAACCTGGGACCGAACAAAAATATTTCTTTTAATCAAACACGATCGTGGTAATGTACCCACTTGAGATGCATTATCAGATGCGACAAACTGCTTTCTTGTAAGTAATACTAATTAATGCTTTGTATTTGTTGTGCAATAATGTTTACAAACACCTATTTGCATTTTAATGTCGAAACTGCTTCCTTTACCTTCATTGAAATAGAATGTAGCCTGAAAATTAAGTTCTGGCCTTAATCCTTTACACCGTATAATTGCTATTATCCCAGGAATAGACAATTTAACTATTCTGGGGGTAGATCGATTTTACAGATCCGTTACGTGTGAACTTTCAGCTCGATGTTTCCTGTGCCACATCTTTTCCATTACTCTTGATATCCCACTGAACTTCTGTGAACTGTACGTTCTACGGTTATGAAGATGTGGCTTTTAGATTATACAACTAAAAATCCGTCCACAGTATTTGTGTTCTAATTCTTACTACAATACTTTTGTGTAGCACAGTGCAGACAGGTTTTGCTAATCTTATCCTTACTCCATATTATTTTTTTTTGTTGTACTTGCATGATTCCAGAGCAATATTTTGTATCATGAGGTCTTTCTGCAATGCAATATTGTAACATAACATTTCTTGATTTATAAAGTTACGTTTTTAACAATGTAACCTCACATTTGATCACTTCTCCCAAAGCTGTCAAGAAGATGAAAATGATGATAATCTTTCTCAAAGCCAGCCTATTCAAACTGCGGTTTCCCGTATTACATTTTATATTTGGAATTTAGATTTTTGCTACCCAAAGGCAAAACCCTATATCTGTGTTAAATGTATCAGTCAGGCTTTTGACCAGCCCTGAGTTCTCTGAATAGTAATGTTCTCGTCATCATTTGAAATCATTCCCATTTTTATCCCCTAGACAAATCATTTCTTTGTGTTTTTTTGTTGTTGCAATACTGGAAAAAACTTAATATTTATTTTAGTCTCCTTTGCAAAATTCCTTACTATCTTTCTCATGGTCTAATATCCTTTTTATCTCAAGAATGCATTTCATTAGTTTTATAACTTTTTTTTAACACTTTATGAAGTGCTTCATTTCTCCTTATATTCTTCTTAATTTACTTATTCAGCATTCTGGGCCACTGTTTTCCTTACTCTGATTTGTTTACTCGTGAACTGAATCTGTTCTGTGTTACAAGCAGAATACATATAAACCTTTGCCATACACTTTCTAGAAGATCTATATGTAGATTTTCCCTTTCTACTTATGTACTGTCTCATTCCTTCATTGTCTGCTTTTCTGAACTTGCAAATGTTTGTGTTGACTCGCCTGCGCAGTTTGAAGACCTATTCGAAAACATCAATACTAAGACAGCAGTTCCCTGATGTTTCTGTTTTTCTTACTCCATCTTGTCAGAAGAGACTACATCAATACAAGTATTTACTCCGGGAGGTCCTCTGACGCAGTTATCTACTAGATTCCTAAACTGACATTCCTATTGGTTTTTCCCAATCTTAATGTTAAAAATCCTCCATGAAACCACTTCTTTTTTCACATACTGTATATATATATATCCTTAGTTTCATCATATAAACCTGCATTATAATTAATTTCTGAATTTGGTGACTTGCATTCCACACAGGAATTAAATAATTGTGACCAACACAATTTTCAAGAACCTTTACATTCACAGATTTTGATTCACAGTCTGACAAATCGATAGGTGATTTTTTTTGTCAGTCCTATGAACAAGAATGATTAAGAAAGTAACTTTCACGTTGTAATTTGTCATAAAACAATCATCAACTAGAGAGGAGATCCCTTTAGGTTGTAGTAGTCCAAAAAACTAAGTGTACTAAGAAAAAAAACTTAAAAAGCAGTCTTACCTTAAAAGAATGATTGATTCAACCGTTTTATTACCTGAGCTGAAATACAAAAATATTTTGGTTAAAAAAACATCTGCGAAGCCGAATATATCAAGGTCGGATATATCAATTTTGATTAAAAAAATCGTATCACTCTTTTAAACCATACAGTATATTCTGGCTACGCAGAGATTCTTGCAATTCTGGATGTCCAAGAGTGAAATTATCATTGTTCACAGGAAAAGAAAACAAACGTTCAGCGATTAAACTTCTAAATGCCTGGTTTCTTACACTGTATATTGGTTTCATTTGTGATGCCTACGTTTCTGTTCACCTAATTTAAAAGGCCTCTCGAGACAATTGGCATTGACAAGCCCTGGCTGGAAGATTTGTACGTGACTGGTGATTTCTAAGCCTTCGCCCTCACAGTCAAGTCCAGCTTTAGAAGCAGTTAAGGCCCCATTCTGAACACCTGCCAAATATATGTCGGCAAAAACTCCCCAGCAAATAAGTAAAAAACACACGGGTTTTTCGATTTAAAACGCAGTTCTATTAAATGTTCAGAGTACGTACGTTTAGAACTAGGTCCAGCATGATGTGGTGAAATCCCAACTAAAGTTTGAACCGAAAGACAGACATGCCCGCTCTGTCATTCAGAACACACCAGCTAGATGGCATGCCTCCCCGCATGGTGGGAAACACGCGCGGGACTCTGGGAAATGTAGTGCAACGAAGCCTCAAAACTAGTGTGGCACTATCCTCTACTTTCATCATTAAAACTACAAGGTCCAGCACCGGCGAGAGGGCGGAGATTTTCTCAAATAAGGAAACAGGATCTACTGCTTTCCCAGCATGCTTAGGAGCGGAAGTAGCATGCCGTAACAAAGTAGGTATGGTGCGACGGTGCAATGTTAATAGTGCGGATATTATTATTTACAGAAATTAAATATATTTTTCAGTATTGTTAATTGTGCGTTTGCTAATGTTTCAACAGAACTGGTTCTTTCCCTAGTTAGATTAGCTCGGAATTAGCCTCGGATAATTTTTTGAGTGTAATGTAAACAACTGTGTTGTAATGCTTCGTTCGTGTTCCTGGGCATCTTCGAAAATCTGCTATCAGCTATAATCTTGGATTTAGACGTTTGAAAAAAAAAACCCACGTAAGATCGTTAAACCGCGGCTCGATTTGTTAAACGACTAGTAACGAAATGTGTGTCGCAGTTTGCAGTCTAATCCCTATGAATGTATTGTTTTGGTTTAGTCGGTAGCTTGATGCATGTTCTCTTTAGATGTTTTTGTTACGTGTTGTGCTCGGAGTGGGTTATTGAGTGATTTCAGGACGTCTTGAAGCCGGTGTGTGATACTGAGTTGATGGTATATACTGAAGAACTTCGTACGCGCCCCACGTTTATCACGGTTGAGAATTAACGACGCAGCGCTAAACGTGTGTTATCTGTTGGAGTATAATATCTGAACGTGAAATGGGGGAAAAGAACCTGTTTTAAAGACGTATATTCGGGAGCAAAAAGGAAAGTTTTCCATGGAGCCGGAGTGGGGAAACAAGCTACGTTTGAGGATGGGGGAGGGGCAGCGTGAACCTGTCCGCTTGGCGCTCTCACGAATTTCATGGAGTGGTTCTTGTTTCTCGGGTGCGGTGTTTTGCCATGTTACGGTCCTTTTGGCTTTGGCCGATTTTGTTTCCCAGTGAAGAAACGCGAAACACCCGCTAAATCCGAAATAAAGCTGGGCGCTTTTCATTTCACCCCAGTCTGTCCGGTTTACAGGTGACGCCGGTCATTAATCTAGGATTAATCCTGCTGTTGACCGCTTGTACATGTGGTGGCGCATTTCGCCTGTTGGGCAGGACACCGCTACATTGCCCTTTTCAACAGAAAACAACCACAACTACAATATTTAAAATCGTTTCATAATAAAAAAAAACAATTATGGTAAATAATGCTACAAATCATATACCCAGAGAACGACATGTACAGCAAAATTCTAGCGAACACTGTTTCCTTTAAAGGACCATAAAATATATAAAAATACATTTTATCTAAATTATTCACATTATATTCAAAGTATAGTCTGCAATACACCCTGCGTCTCTGGTATCGGCATGAATCGATTTTACTCGGAATGGCGTTTATTCATCAACAAGTAAAGGCGTGGAAACGGAACCTGAGTGAACGGTCATTAGGAGTCAAGGGTGTAATGAAGACATGGTAGCTCTCCTGGACTTCGTGTATCGCTAAACTGCCACATACAGGATCCATCCATCCAATAGAACTCCGTAACTAACACTTTAGTATCTGCTTTGGGTTCTGCCATGGCTTCTGCACACTGAAGAATTTACTGGCATTGTGTGAGACCCATTAACCACACTGTAGTCTCCAGTCTCTCCCAACCCCCTTCCACTCTGGTATCATCACACGACTGTTATTTATTCAACTAACTCCTGGATATTGACAAAGAATGGTTTGGGGTTCCTTGCCGTTTGGTAACGGTAGAGTGCATGTACGAAGGCGACACTGCAATTTCAGCGCTGTTTTGCTGGTATCGGGGTCAGTCAGCGCCAGGTTTAGGAGTTGGCTTGGCGATGCTGTAATCTTGCTTGGACACTGTTTTGTTTGCCTCACTCTGCGACCAGTGCACCAGCTGTTGTTGCAGCAATGCCAGAGGAATTCCTTAATGTTTTAACAAGATAACGCACGTCCCCATATGGCAAGGGTCACTCTAGCCTGTAACATCAAGGACCTTCCGGATCAAATCACATATTTTAAACCATTCGAGAGCCTATTGGAAATAATTGAGTAAACCAAACATGATTTTTTTTTTTAATTCTGGGGCGCTTGCATTTCTGAGGTTTTTCAGTATGTGCATCGATTTCACCGTTCACTGTAGAGTCAAAGAGGTGCAATGAAGAAGAAGTTTACCTAAGAAACTGTAAAGGTCTCTGTTGGTGTTTGGATGCACTCGTGTTTACAGATTTCGCCTTGTTTTCGCAGAAAACATAGCGAAGGAGGAGTGAGGATTTGATTCAACAGTCGACACATCTCTAGTAGTAAATTTGAAGGAAAAGAAGAAAAGCTGCGTGGAGAATCGGTGCTCAGGAGTAGCCATGGAAGGTGCGGCTCAGAAGGAGGAATGCTCTTCGGATGGAGGCGTTTTCCAACAAGAGGACCGCAAGGATTTAAACAGCGCGGATACAGAAAGGCACACGGAGGGAGATGGAAATGGCGTCGCCTGCATTAGTTCTGGCATCTGTGGGAAAGGAGAGGGTGCCAGATCGGACCAGCAGTCCCCAAGGAAGAGGAAACGGGAGCCGGAGGATGAGCCTCTAGCCAAAAAGCTGGTAAGAAACCTTAAATATGCTGCTTAATCACTAAGAGGAGAGTCTCGTAGGTCCGTACGCTCCGTGCACAGCTCAAAAACAACCTAATCGAAGAAAGTTTCATCTTCTAAGCGAAAGGTCCTGATTTTGTTTTCAGGTGGCGCAGTGGTTAGCATTGCTGCCTTGCACCCTGTGTGCTTGTGTGCTCTCTCCATCTTGGAGTGGGTTTCCTCCCACAGTCCTCGGACCTGCTGGTAGGTTAATTGGCTTCTGGGGGAATGGGCCCTGGTGGAAGTGGACCCTGTGAAGGACTGGCATCCTGCCCAGGGTGTACCCCGCCTTGTGCCCTTAGCCTGCCGGGAGAGGCTCCTTCTCCTCCGAGACCCTGAATTGGAAGAAGCAGTTAGAAAATGCATCTTGAAATCGTTTTCAGCTGTCTTACCCTGTACGGCCACAAAAACGTTGATTTGACTGAGTAGGAGGAAGTGTCTGGGGAGAAATGGCGCTAGCCATGTGCACCCCTGACGTGTGCCTATAGGAGCATATTGAAAAGGCCTAATTGAGCTGGAAGGCCAGGTAAGAGAGACTGTAAGTAGCAGGAATATCCCTATGGAGAATGAAATGTCATACTTTGGATAACCGTTTTACACAGGAGTTAATTAAGGACGTACATCGGCTTGAAAGAGGAAGGTGCTCAGTTTTGGAAAGTCTGGGTGCAGGTGTCCTACAGCAGTGGCCACAACCAGGAGGCCCAGTAGAGATGTGTGGCTCGATATGTGTTGTGTTTTCTTTGCGCTGGATGTGGCGTTGATAAGATATTGAAAAAGCTTTTTGTTAGGCTGCTACATTGTGGAGGGTCTGTTGAAGATGTTCAGCACTACAGAAATTCCAAGAGGCACTTTCTGTACTCATCAGAGGGGTACAGCAGCAGCTCAGCTCACCCTGATGTTTGTAACCAGTATCTTACACGTGTCTTAAAGGCACTTCAGTAAATCTCGAGCATCAGGAAATATGTTTCCAGTTGTTCAATTCACTCATCTCTGTAAGATAAGTCGGAGATCTTGAATGATTGTCACGTGTTTAAAGATCAATGATATCTGCGCCATCTTATATTCTTGTAGTGTCTTTTTCTTAATGTTGTTGGTTCTTATTATAGACATTGTTTCTATTTGGCGTTGTGCTTCCCTATGCTGAAAGGCACTTGGTTCCATCTTGTACTTCTAAGGAGCAGATGCACTCTGCTCTGCAAAGGTCTTTTATCCCGTGGCCTCAGCAAAGATAGGGTCCAGATGCATTACCAGTGGCAGATGAAGAGAACGCACTTTTATCTTAAAGGTACGTTTGGTATTGCTATGTTGAGCAGAAGATTTGGTCCCTCAGTTTTTATTTCTGCGTCTTTTTGCAGCATTCAGACCAAGGCCATAGTGAAAAGGTAGCCATACATTATAATACACTTCAGGAAGTTGGCTTAGCAGCTCGCAGCCAAAGCAGAATTTTCTACCTCCGAAACTTCAACAACTGGCTCAAGAGTGTGCTCATTGGTGAGTTATTTTCTGATTTTATTTAGTCCTTTTGTATGATATTTTAAATGTAGGGAGCTGTTGTTAGGCTAAGAGCAAGGATGTGATCAATACAATTATGAAATAACTCAGTGAACACATGAAACTTTTTTTTTGCATTCAGCACCTATTGTCCTGTGAACATCAGAATAGCCTATGGATTCGTCGATGAAATATGCATGGATAGATTTGTTCATTCTCGTGGTTAAGGTATAAATGTGAACCACTTCACTGTTTTTGTTCTCATTTCTGCAAAGAAGTTTTCAAATAATATTCCAAATAACACATCATACGTCTCACAGTTATGTTTTGCGAAAGGCAACAATTGTTTTGGGGAATTATCCCCTGAAGCAAAACAAAACCTCAATAATTGATAAATTACCATTCATAAATAGAAAATGTGAGCTTGTTGTTTTTTAATCAAGGGCAAACATGTAACAGACAACAACAAAGACAAAATGGTTGCGGTCCTTTTTGTTTCATAATGATGGTATTATTTGGGAGCCATTTAAAATGTATCTCACAGAGGCACCACTGTACGACGGATACGAAAGAGATGTTGGTAAATTGGATGTATTCCTTGCAGGGGATATCCTGGAGAAGGTGCGACAAAGCCGTAGGGACCTGACCGTTCTGGATCTTGGCTGTGGGAAAGGGGGAGATTTGCTGAAGTGGAGGAAGGGGAGGATAAGCAGGCTTGTGTGTGCAGGTAGGTGGAGTCCCGGGTCTGGGGCACTGTCCTGAGCGTCGGAATGATTGGAGATCGTCTCGGTGTCATTTCCCAGCAGGCTGTGAGGGCTGTGGTTGAGGCAGCTGTCTCCATCTGCCGTCCTGCTACCTTTGGCTTTTCAACCGGGGGAGCCCTCATCTGCTGAACCAGAACACGCCTACTATCGGGCGACTCAGGATTTTTAAAGATGCAGAGTTGCCCTTTTAGTCTTGAGTTAAAATCCTCAAGTAACTGTTTTTAGATCGTGCATCTTTGTTTTATTAATTTTAAGAATTTGAACGTGTTTTTTTTTTTGCTCCGAATCCTCATAATTTGAAATTGGCTCCAGTTCCCTGCCCCACCGTGTAGGGAATGCGGACTACATGGTCCCTCTCCCTCGCTGCGTCCTCTGTGGAGCTGCGGGCTTCGCAGTCTGTGCCTGGAGAGTGAATGGAGCAGAACAGCGCCGCTTCTAGCTGACACTGTACTTGCGCGTGTGCTCACACGTTGGGTCTCTCAGGATCCAAAAAGAGAAGCAAAGAATGCACACCCAGAAGTCCCAGAGGTCCTGTCCAGAGAAAAAGCAATATACAACTATACAACAAAATAAATTTCACTTAATATCTGCTCACTGAAAATGCACTGTATTTAAGGATCCCAACCTTCCTTCCAAATGGTGTTTCACTTTCACATGTGGTGAGGATGATTGGGGAAACTGTTCTATATGTAGTTGGATCTTCAGTTAGACAAATAATGTTTGTCCTGATAAAGGCTGTTGTGCCAAAACATTACATAAATGTCTGAGGACACGTTGATCGACTCGGCCCCTCAGCCCTCACTTGGGGAATTCTTGTCATAATCATCTAATAAAATAGTTCAGGCACGATCAAGCAGTGCATCTATTGGACATATTCCTCATTCTGAGCAAGCCCTCTTGCTTGTTGAACCAATACACTTTTTTGTCATTCTTTTTTTCTTCTGCTGGCCTATCGTTATTATTGCTGACCCTGTTATTTTAACTTAGACTTGTGCAAGTGCCAGCCTCTGGTATTAAAAGGTTTGCATGATCTTTCTGAGAATAGACTAAAACTCATTAGATGACAAAGAATAGAATAGCTGCCAGTTGTTTAACTTTTAACACTTCAGTTATTGTGAAAGTGCTTTACAGGCTTAGATGGGTAACTCCAAGGAAAATGTCTGTCAGTGAGGGGCTGATAATTTCATTTTCAGTTTCTGCTCGTTCTTATTATCCCCTAGACCTGCCTTGGTTCTTAAGGTAGTTCCTTCTCAACACCTTGCTGTGGCGTTTTTCACAGATATCGCCTCGGTGTCTGTAGACCAGTGCCAGCAGCGCTATGAGGACATGAAGAGTCGGAACCGGCCCAATGACCATATCTTCAACGCGGAGTTCATTACCGCAGATTGCTCAAAGGTGCGCGTTTAAATTCGGCACAAGTTTGCGTCTTTGTTTTATAAATGATGCTCATCTTGCATGTTTTACCTACAGATAAATGAGAACTTAGTTATAACATAATACATTGTGCATATTAAGAAACAATAATATAGAGACATTAGAATGATCAGTAATATGATAAGACATTCCTCCTATCCAGCTGAAATGTCATGTCTAGGGTGGTTTAATACAATACTGCAGGTGTCCATAGTACACAGGGTGAATTGTTCAATGATTTCTGATCGATACGATCCTATTTTGTGTTCTCATAGCTATTTTGATAAGTAAAATGAGAAAGTAGCCTTTGTAATTGTATTCACCTCCCTACAGTTTCCATGATTCGTTGCCATCTGAACTGACTGTCGTGACCCCTTGAAACAGATTGTTATATTTTTAATGTAAACATCCAAACAAAATGGTAAACCACTGATAGTTAAAAATGCTGTTTGTATGTAAAGTTAGATTTTCAGAGAAAATTACAAGATTCACAGTTGCATGAAAAATTAAACCATTTAATAAGGGCGGCTTTAATGAGTTTGAGTGTAAAGGATTTGAAAGGTCACGGCATCTGTCTTTGCAAGTTCTCTCGGTAACAGTGACATGCTGTTTTTTTTCCCCCAATTTTAGGAAGTCCTCGCGGAAAAGCTAAAAGACCCTGAGATGACCTTTGATGTCTGTAGCTGTCAGTTTGTGTATCACTATTCCTTCGAGACGCGGGAGCAGGCTGACATGATGCTGAGAAATGCCTGCGAAAGGCTGAGACCAGGGGGCTACTTCATTGGCACAACCCCTAATGCCTTTGAGTTGGTGTGAGTACCTTTCTTTAAAATCTTTTTTTTTCACTTTCCATTTACAATATTCTGTCATCTGTATTGATGATTTCTTCATTCCTGCCTGACGCTTGAGGTCTGCTATTGTGCATTTTGCCAGCTCTGTCCCAGTCAAAAAAATCTACCCTTCAGTCCAGTGGTGCCTTGTTTAATATCCACACATATGCTAATGCCACATCTTCATGGGCATAAAACTTTTCCTAGGCCTGATAATAGCAGCGATTGACTCTTGGAAATTGAGGGCTGTTGCCCATTCATGTGTATAATCTTTCAGAACTTAATTTGATAGTACAACTGTAACGTCTAGGGACATATCATGAGGAGGGACGTTGAGGAAGTAACAAAGAGGGTAATGGAATTTGAGGTGGAAGGTAACAGAGGAAGAGGCAGGCCTAGAAAGAGATGGATAGATTGTGTGAGAAAAGATATGGAGGTATGTGAAGTGAGTGAGGAAGATGTGCTCGACAGAGACAAGTGGAGAAGAGCAACCAAAGCAGCTGACCCCAGGACAGTCTGGGACTAAGGCTGTGAAAAAGAAGAAGAACTGTAACGTCTAGCTCCCAAGTTAGAGATATTACAAAGTATTTGCAGGAGTAACTCAAATAAAACGTCATTCATGCTACTTCAAAGACTTTTTAACTTTGTTTTCAGAAAACGACTTGAAACTTCAGAGACTAATTCCTTTGGAAATGATGTCTACAGAGTCACATTTCAGAAGAAAGGGGAGTATCCCCTCTTCGGCTGCCAGTATGACTTTAACCTAGAAGGTGTGGTTAATGTTCCCGAGTTCCTCGTGTATTTCCCATTGTTTGAGGAGTAAGTACTTTTGTGTTTTGTGTGTATATGTGAATTTGTATACAAAGCATCCAAAACAATGCAGTTTTGACTGTTGTATAAGCACTAAATCACCTTATTAGTGCAAGATTGGACACGAGC